GAGCCAGAGGACATCTGATGGGGTTGAAAGACAGAGGGATGAGAGAGATCCAGGGGAGCTGTGCCAGCTCACTGACATGAGGTCTGTTGCCCAGGACCTCACAGGAGGGATTCATGCACAGGGCAGAGTCCTGGGGCACCTTCTGCACAGGGGGGACCACCAACCCCACAGGGATGGCTCTGCTGACACTGGGGGAAGAGGGGACACGTCTCAGGAGGCAGCACAGTGGCCTAGGGAACTCAATGTGGCTGTGAGAGCTGAGTGAGATGCAGCAAGTCCTGGGGGCTGGTGGGCAGCTTCCAGAGCCCATTCTGTCCCCAGCCCAGGACCAGAGCAGATGTGGCACTGCTGATAGCACCACAGGGCTCAGACCACTGAGGCACGCCCGGGTTGGGCTGGGCCTGATCTTCCCCTAAATGAAGGCACTGCATTTGTGGATGTTTGTGTGTCTCCCCCACACATAACTGGAACCCAAGCTCCAATCCCATCACTGGTGCTGCTGCCAGGAGAGACGTGCCCAGCACAGCCAAAGCTCCCAGGTCATCCCCAGGGAGGAGCCGAGCGGCACCGCTCCGGCCCGTGGGAATGTCGGCGTCAACCACGGCTCTCATTAAGAGCACGTTATGCCTCAATACTTATAATGAAAAAAACGAGGGTGAGAAAGAGAGAGGCCCCAGCGAGGACCTGATCTCTTTATGAATACGGGCTGTGTGTTATGGACCATGTTAACACAAGAACCAGAGCCACGAATGAGGTCTGTCCAGGGAGCGGCGGCGCCACCGGAGCATTTCAGTGAGTTGGTGGCTTCTACCAAGTGAGAGATTCCCGTTAACCAGAAATGTTTCCATCCCATCCCCTCTTACAGACCCTCTGCTCCATCCCCGAGCCTTGCTAAGGACCTTGGGGATCCCCTGGTGCTGGGATAAGGGATAACACTGACAGCAGGGTGGGTGCTTGGCCTGAGGGGGAGCACTTGGGGGGACTTGGCTGGGGGGACCCTGCACGAAGCCTGTAATCCCCACCACAAAGCCAAGCAGGAACACCACATCCTGCTGTCTGTCTGAGGTTCCCCCTCCATCCCTGCTGTGCTGATGCCTGTGGGGTGCAACACAAAATGCCAGAACGGTTTCATTTGGAAGGGACCTTAAAGCTCATCTCGTTGCACCCCCTGCCATGGGCAGGGACACCTTCCACTGGACCAGGTTGCTCCAAGCCCCATCCAACCTGGCCTTGGACACTTCCAGGGATGGGGCAGCCACAAACACAGAGCAAACAACCATTCCAACCCCTGTCCCCTCTGGAGTCAGGTCCCTGCAGAGCTGGACACTCCTCTCTCCCAGGCTGGATGCTCCCGCTTCCTCCAGGCACTCTGTTTAGCAGAAGTCAGTGTGGGGTCGTGACACCCGTTACACAACCCACTCATGAATATTGCAGCAGCTCTGGGCAGCCCGACTGGCCAGGCAGGTGCTGCATTGGGAAGCAGCAGAGGGAAAACCTCTCTGGAAAATCACTGGCACAGCCCCAGCCCGGCACCACCAGAACTCTGCGGCCGCAGGCAGCACCAACAGGAGCAGGAAAAACACCAGGAACAGGAGGGACGTCCCACTTGGAAGGACACCGAGAGCCCCTCCCTGTCAGAGGCACCACCCCATGGAGGAACAGCTTCCAGGGGCTCTGGAAGCAGAGGCTCAGCCAAAAGTTCCCTGGCTCTGGCCATGCCGCAGCATCCAAGGTAGAGAGGACACCTCCTGTGCTCTCCAGGCTCGTGAGAGTCGCTGCCAGTCAATAAAAAGCAGTGAAGGGTTTGATAATGGGCATGCCTGGAAAGACAAACAAACAGGGCTTAATGAAACCTTTATTTTAAAAATACGGTTTTTAATTTAAATGCAAATTGGGGGCTGTGGTAGCTGTAGGTCACTCACACTGACACGCTGCTTAATTAGCAGGGCTGAGGCTAGGGAAGCAATGGCACTAATGGCTGGCCCTTTCCTGGGCATTTATTTTAAGTTAATTAAAATTTTTCAGGACGGGACAGGTCCTGCTCTGCAGAACAGCTCCTCACTCTGTTCAGCCAGTCCTTTCCCAAGCCCCACACGCTGCCAGGGATGCTCCCAGGAGGCTGTCAGCTATTAATGGAGCAGGGCACATTTATTTCTGCATCCTGAAATCCCCTTTGGCAAGTCACAAATCGCAGCCCCCCTCTCCACAGATGCTCCTGCAACATCCAGCATCAGGAAAATGGCATCAGAGAGAACTCTGAGCAAGGACAGGGGAGGTTTCTCCAACTGTTGGGGTGAATTACATGGATTAGTCTTCAAAAGAGATGTTGAACCTGATGTGAAATCAAACCCTCCAAGTGATGAGCAGAGCAGTTATCCCGAGTTACACACGAGTCGTGCTCAAGAGGATCTCGTTCAGAGAAGATCTGCCTTTGCCAAGAGAGATGAGCTGGAATGAGAGCTCTGATCCAGGAGAATTGAGCTGGAATCCAGAGTCCTGATTTAAGTGACCTGAGAGCTCTGATCCCTGCGTCAGAGCTCTGGGAACGGAGCTTTAACCCTTCCCTTGGTCCAGTTCTGCCTCGTGCTGCTGTCAGCTGCCACACACAGACCCTCTGAGAGAGAAATCCAACATGGACCATCACCAGGAGATGGGATGGCAGAGCAGGAGTGCCCCTGGGGCCGTGCCTGTCGATAATTGCTCAGGGCTCAATCCATGTGTCCCTCACGGAGCAAATCAATGGCAACTCATCGGGAGAAAATGAGATAAACAGTGGCCTTAATTGCCCATTGCCCTCCAACAGCAACCCTGGCTGGGGCTGCAGGAGGAAAAGGTCCTTGGACTATAAAAGACATGCTCTGAGGTTGTCCCTTCTCTGCTATGCTGTGTTTCATCCCATTTCCATCCTGGCTGGATCAGAGCAGATCCAGCACCACATGGGTCAGACTAAGGAAGGAGAAGCAGATGGAGCCACACTGAGTGGTGGGAGCTCAGGGCACTCTGCGGGGGCTGATTCCCTCCTCCCTCAGTGTCACCCACTCACTCACCCACCCTCCTAAAAGGGTGTTGGAAACCTGATCTCCAGTGCACAGCTGGGAGCTGCCCAGCCCTTTGCTCACCAGGGGATCCCCAGGGGATATCCCAGTCCAAAACCTCTAAGGCTGAGGGTCCCACAGACCCGAGGATTGCCTTCTCCTTCCCTCTCACCTATTTCCTTAAGCCCAGACCTAAAGGAACTTGGGGCTTGATTTGGCACGAGGTGAAGCTGTCAACCCAAAAATGAGGGGGGCAACTTTTTCAAGATCCCAGGAACAGAGGGGGCTGCTCCCAGAGGGGGTTGCATCCAGCCCCTGCCCCCCACACCATTCCCATCAGCTCCCTCACTCCAGGCTCCCACCCAGGCACGTGTGTGGGGCAGCTGCTCATGGCACCAGCCATCACCCCTGAGACTGGAGACTCATCCAAAGGGGCCACAAAACTCCTGCAGGAGAGGAGGGAGGAGAACCTGGCAGGCAGGAGGGAAGGTGCTTTAATGAAGAATCATTAAACCACTGAAGGATTAAAGAGAGGAAGGGATAGGATGCTCCACAAAAACTCAGTCATTAGTGAAGCCCGAGGGTAGATGCAATTGTTTTTTGGGTTTTTTTCCTCTCTTTGATGACCCAGTTTTTTAATCTCATCAGCACCAGGCTTGTGTTAATTTTTAAATATGCTTGGGTAACTGAGAACATTAACTATTCATGATCTTATCTGCAATAGCTGTTGGCTCTGACACTGTGCCAGGGAGAGCTGAACTTACCAGGGAAGGCAATAGCAGGTTTTTCCTGAGCATCTTGTTGAAATGATCCCAGGATGGGGTGGGGTTCCACAGCACTCCTGGATAAATCAAGGCTTGTGGGGCAGGCTTGGATCATGGGGGACATTCCCTTGCACTTGTGGTGGCTTGAAGAGACAGAGCACACAAAAAGCTGGGATGTGGGGAATGCTGCAGACAATTTGTGAATGCTTCCATTCCAGGGAACCCCCAACATGGTTTATAAGTGTGAGGGGAGGGAGCCTCCTGGGCTGGTGTGAGGTGGTGAGCTGGCTCTGGGCAACCTGTGCCAGGGCCTCCCCACCCTCCCAGCCAGGAATTTCTTCCCAATATCCAATCTAAACCTGCCCTCTTTCAGCTTTGAGGCAGTTCCAGCTTGTCCTGGCACTACCTGCCCTTGTGCAAAGCCCCTCTCCAGAACAAACACAGAAGTCACAGCCAGGGCAGGTGACAAGGCACACACAGCTCTTGGGAGCCCTTGCCCTGGGTGCCACCATCAGCAAGAACAGGGGATGAGCAGCTGCAGGAGCTCGGGTTAACCTGGGAAAGGTACAGGATGCTGGGAGCTGAGAACAGGATTAACAGTGAAGAACAAAGAACAGAGCACAGGAGAGCAAAGGTGATTAATTATCAGAACATCAACCAGCAGAAGAATGCAGTGATAGAGAGAGAGGGAGTTAATCAAAGGAACAAAAAACTCACAGTGGCTCTGAGGAAGGATGGAAGCCGGAGGCACCTCCTGCAGCAGGTACCTGCAAGATGCTCTCACCAACTCTTGCTGACAGATTGTTGCTGGAAAGAAAATCTCCTTGGTGCTTCAGAGGATCCAAGTGGCAGGAAGGCAGCACTGGAAGAGCAGCAGGACAATGTTGGGAGCATATTGATCCACAAGGCTTCTGGCCCAGAGCCCACAGCACTGTGGGAGAACCCCCCTACATTTTCCAAAAAGGGATACAGGTGCTTCCTGCAGGAAAACTGAAAGGAGAATCACAGAGTCAGTAAATTGTTGAGGTGGAAAAACCCTCTGGAAGTCACCTGGTCCTGCCCTCACAGACAGATTCCCAGGACCACGTTGAGACAGCAAAATTTACTCTATTTCCCCCCTCCCCTCCACCCATGAAAATGAAATATCATAGATCAAAATTTAATTACTCTATCTGCAAACTAACAGAGTCACACTGGAGGCTCAGTGTATACAGTATTTTATTGAATGGACGTATATTACAATAGACAAACATATATTACACATGCTATACAAAATATACATTCTTATGTGAAAAAAATATAAATAGACACTAGGAAATAGCAACAAGGGAACAGGAGCAGCTTTGCTCTTGCTGCCTCTGAACCCCCAGTTCCTGTATTGGTAGTGCTTTGGCATTGATTGAAGAAACTGCCTGTTTTTACTGAACAAAGAAAGGCCACTCTGTCCCCCCTGCACCCCTGGAGCAAAGGGAGAGAAGAGACACATGATTTGAACCCAAGTCTACCAAGGAAGTTTTCCACAGTGCAGCAAAGTGTCACCCTACTTACAATCACCAGCTATTTACAACCAGCTTATGGACTTTAAATGCTCGTGGAAGGCTGTAAATGTCCTGATTTACAGTGGTAGCTTTTCCAGGCCCCTCTCTCACAGAAATCAGAGCAGCTTTAGCTCCTCAGGGCTCCAAGAGCCAGCACTGGCCTGGTGCAGACAGCAGCGATTTTAAGGCCTTAGTCCTGGCCAAGCAGGTCTCACCTCCCTAACGGGAATTCCCTCGCTCCAGGCAGTTCTGCCCCAGGTATTCCCAAGGTTTAGACATCCCCAGCTGCACTGGGACAGATCTGAGTGAGCTCAGCTCCTCGGAGGAGAGAGAGGGATGAAAGAAAAAGGAGCAAAGCGTCTCCCAAACGGTGACGGGAGACAGAGCAGCAGCTGGGATGCTGTTTTCCCACTCTTGGGAATCACACATTCCAGCAGCACCCTGAGTGGCTGCCTGCAGAGAGCAGCCCAGAAGGATGAGGCTTTGCTGCTGCTGTGGTTTCATGACATGACCTTTCTCAGCTGGATTTAAACTGACAGCACTGGGTTCCCGCAGCAGGGATCACTTTGGATTGAGAATAAGCACCGTGTCTTAAATGCTGTCTGGGAAGGAAAAGCCTGGAGGAAATAAAAACAGAAAGGAATGAACTTAAGATTCCTTTTTTTTTTTTCTTCATGTTATTAAAACATTTCAGCTGTCAGAACCCAAAAATTAACACACCTGTGTGTTTCTACTTTACCCAAAGGTCAAGGACAATTGGATGCTCTTCCCACTAGAGCTGCTATCAAAGCAGCCCCGCTGGCTTTGAGAGCATGGGAAGAGCCCTTGATAATATTTGCTCATTTGCACAGATCTGACTATTATTCATGTCCAAAGAGCCGTGGGAAAAGAATCATTATTCCCAGTGTTCCCTCACTCATTTACTCAAATACTCCACAGTCTGCAAAGCCTGAGCTGTGATTCTGCTCGACTGCACCTCACACTTCAGTCACACACCCTCCGGTCTGGGAATGGATCGATGGGAAGTCCCACATACCTGTCCATGGGCTGGGCCAAAAGGGGGGTTTTTGTCTTTACAAAGATATCCACACAGCTGGTTTTATTTGGGTACAAATCCTACAGCTCCAGAAAAAGGCACCAGTGACCAGGAAGGCCATCTCACTCTTCAGGTGTGAGCACAGAGCACACGCTGAGCACGAAGCACCTGCTGAAAACCCATCCCTGAGGAGCCTTTAACCCCTTCTACACAACAGGACACTTTCCCAGAAGAAAGAACTTGCCTTTGGCTGTGCAGAGGAAACAGAAAACCCACAGTATAGTTCACTAAGTATTTACCAAGTGCTCTCCCAATTTACCTGATCCTTTCCATCATCACATTCTTTTGAAAAGTTCACTTAACTGTCAGCTAAGAAAAATACATGGAGACCTCTCGACATACACGATATGAAGTGGTTTTTTTAAAGGTAAAAGCTTAGATAAAACTTGGACTTCTGCTAACATCACGAAATGCATCAGCTTGCAGCCAGGCTTAATGCACACAGAGTTGTAGGCAACAATGAAATTCATCAATATCACAGTTTCACCACATATCCATGAGTAAATTCACTCCTTTCCAAAACAAAGACAGCTCTATCCCCTCACAAACAAGCTTTCATTCCCCCCCCCCAAAAACCTCCCATATGGCTTGATACGCAGCTGTCAAGACTAACAGTATGATACATACTTTGGCATAATAAAAAATATATTTACATTACAGCCAACACATTTATATGCTTAGTGTATACAAAATATTTATAAATGCAAATTTATTTACAATTAAGAGTCCATTATTCCTAGGAGAAAACAAGGCCCAAGCTCAGACTGGTAACAGGCACCTGCCAACAGTCTAAGGAAGGAAAAGCGGGCCAAGAGTTTTATGCTTACGGTTCCTGGGGAATTCCATGAGGAGGCCCTGATGGTTTGTTTCCAAGCAGACAAAGCGCTGTGAAATAGCTACACACATTCTTGAGAGCTTTCCAAGGCATGCACCAACACAAAGGCTGCTTCCAGCACCACACAGTCCACGCTTTAACGCTATTTTTGTAGACAGCACCGATCACCCACGTGTTCTCTGGTGCACGTTCCCATTTCCCGACAGAGAAATCCAAGGGAAAAAGGGCATGTGACACCTCCTCCGAGAGAAGCCTCTTTAGCAACTTGCAGACACACACACAGAGCACGAGAATCTTTGGCCTTGGGGTTGGTCCTGAGGTAGAAAATACAGTCAGTTGATGTGGATTGGCTCGCAGGGCTTCCTTTGAGTGCCTTACGTGGCTTCGCTGCGGTCGTGACTGTTGCGTGTCCTGCTAAAATCCGAGCTGTGCTCGCGGGGCCCGTGGCAGGAGGGCCTGGGCGAGGCCTGGGCCCGGTCCCGGTCGCCGTCGGCGGCTCCGTCGCTCCGGAGGGGCCGTGGGGGGTGCAGGAAACGGGGGTGAGGGGGAGCCAGGTCTTTGCCGACCCCCCATAGAGGGACCTGGAAGGGCTCTGAGGAAGGAAAACGGGAAGGTGAACAGGAGCGAGTTCATTCAGTCACAGAGTGTCCTGAGCTGGATGGGACCCACAAGGATCGTCCAGTCCAACTCCTGGCCCTGCGTGGGACACCCCAAAATCCCACCTTGTCCCTGTTTCCAAACGCTCCCGGAGCTCTGGCAGCGTTGGGGCCGTGCCCACTGCCCTGGGGAGCCTGTTCAGTGCCCAACCACCCTCTGGGGGAAGAACCTTTTCCTGATATCCAACCTAAGCCTCCCCTGACACAGCTCCAGCCATTCCCTGGGGTCCCGTCCCTGGTCACAGAGAGCAGAGATCAACCACACTCAGATCTGAGGCAGATTTGAGCTGTGTGACTCAGCAGTAACAGTTGTTCTGAGGTTATTTTCTCTGGTTTTGAGAGGATATTTTACTGGATGCTCTCCCTTTCCAGCAATCTGTTCCAGTAACCAGAAACACACACAGTTTCAGTGTGAATTTTTAAGAAGGCGATCTGGAAGAAAGTCAACTGAAAAACAACCAATTTAGGGAGTTCTTTGAACCTCAGGCCAGCTCAAGCAGAAGGGCTATCTGAATTTCTCAAGTGAAGCTCCAGCTTTTGGTTAATAGATGTCCCTGAAGTACATTCAAAGGCTCACATTCCACAAACTTTAAGAGCTGAACTGCACAGAAATTCTGTATTTTTAACATCACCCTCTTCAATCTTGGGTTTGTGGATGCAAACTGAGAGCTAGTCTGGAGATCAGGTGGTTAATAAACACAAGTTGCTCCACAGACTACAGGCACTTGAAGGATTAGCTGTGTGTCAGCAGGGAAGGGCAGCACAAGGAAAGCCAAAGGAATACAAAGCAACAAAAGGAAAAGGGGACACTCACCACTGATCTGCTGGGAGGAGATTTTCTTTTCACCGATTTTGTCGTGGCTGGTAAGGAAGACAGGCACGTCTCTGTCTGCCAGGAGATTATCCAGAGCACTGGTTTCGTGCTGGGTGCGTGCTGTGTACGCCTCCTTGGGCATCTGCACCATGAGGTTTGGGAGTGTTTGATCCAGGGGATCCTCCTCGGAGATGAAGGCATAGGGACAGTACTCTCGGGGCCGGGAGTAGATGTTTGCGTTGTCGTAGCAGTCTGAGCAGATCACCAGTGGTGCTGCCCCACCTGAGGAACACGATGGAGAAAAACCAAAACACTCTCAAAAAAGGGTGAAGGTGCCTGATTTCCATAGGCTTTATGTCCTGGTGTGATCATGGATTACAGTTTGAAGGGCCTTTATACAGTTCAGGGTACTTGGCTTGAGGGGTCACGGGAGAAATCCCCACGCTCCACTAACCCAAATTGTCCACAGCATTGCCCTTCTGAGGGTGACCAGGGGAAACCATGGACATGCTCCCCTATTTCACAAGTAAAAGGGTTCCCTGCAAGTCCAGCCAGACTGGGAACCAGGCTGAAACAGCCCTGGGATCAAACAGGGATACCTGTTACCTGTTCACACCTGCTCCTGGACCTGACTCGTCCCTCCATGCCCACACACCTCAGACCTGATGACAAACTGGTCACTGAGATGAGGGGCTTCTCAACTCCTTCCTGACACAGACTAATAGCAGTGGAACTAGACTAGAGGGAATGGATCACGGGCAGGTGTGAAAAACACCAAGGGATCACTTTCAAGCCAGTCCACATAGAGACTGATGGCTCCTCAGCATCTGGATGGTAAAAAATAGCATCTCTGTAAACTCAGTGACAAAAGTATCCTGAAAAGGGTCCAAACAAGGCAGGGAATAGTGCAGACCCCATATATATATTAGTGCAGCCAACTGGATGTCTGGAGAGGCAGGAATTTTACACCAAGAGGTACAGCAAGTCATCATCCCAGCAAACTCTACTTCCACCTCTATAGCCTGGGCTCTTGAGATGCCAAAGGGAAGAAGCAGCAGCAAAATCTACGCTGGCATTTAACCTGTGAGGACAAGACTATGCCCTGGCACCTGCTGAGGCCCAGGTAACACACCTGAGGGCTCTGCTTACCATCTGTGCCTTTGTGCACGTAGCTGCCAGCTGGAGGCATCAGCTGCTGGTGGCTCCCTGCCTCCGAGTTGCTGTAGCCTTCCTGAGGCTCTGACAGCGTTCCTTGGGAGGACAGGTAGCTGGGAATGTCGGCAGGAAGGTTCATCTCCTCTGCAAGGCACAATTAACAGCCGTGACATCAACAGCGTGAAGATTTCAAGGTATTACCAGCACTATTCCCCACATTAACAAGAACACCCAGAATTTCAATTCACATGTAGATATCTTGTCTCCTATCTAGTTCTCTTTTTTTCCTACACCAGTGATTAAAAATCCACACAGCCGGTTCCAAACTTACAGGGAATGGAAATTTACACACATTATTCCAGGTCCTGAAAATCTTTTTAAGTTCAGTCAAATATTTACTTGCAAACTTTACCGCTTTCCCTCAATGTAGGACAAATCTAGCGGATAAGGAATAGAATTAGCACACTTTTGGTATTTAAAAGAACCTCTAAAATGAAGGAATTTGAGCAAATCCCTGAAGGGATTTGAGAAGGAAATCTTCGGTTCTTTAATCTTATCCATCTGTAACGAATCCAGACATTTCGAGCGTTCTGGATTAAAAACGGGGCCAAAGGCCGTTGCTCTTTGCACTTCACCTGTGTTAGTGATGCTGTAATCCTCGTTCCTCCTCCTCATGTGGTAGATGACGATGACCCACACCAGGGACGTCCCCACCACGCAGCACACGACGACGATGATCACGATGCCCACGGTGGTCCAGCCGTCCTCCTCGTGGGCGACGCCGCTCTGGGAGGAGTCGCAGTTGGGGGAAGCCAGGACGTTGAGGTAAATGTGGCCCCGCTCGGTGCCCAGGGTGTTGGACATGATGCAGGTGTACTTCCCAGCGTCCTCCAGCCCGGCATCCACGATGATGAGGAGCTGGTTTGCCGCGGCGAAGAAATGCCGCTCCGTGACGGTGAGGGGCCCGTCGTCCTTGGTCCAGTTGAGGCGAGGGGCAGGGCTGCCCCCAGCTATGCACTGCAGCACAGCAGTCTCCCCTCGGCTCACCGTCCTGTCCTCCAGGGGCCTCACGAAGGAAGGAGTTTCTGGGATAGCAGAGGGGAGAAAAATTAAATTGCGAGATAACGGTTTGGGTTGGAAGGGACATTAAAGGTCAACCAGTTCCACCCCCTGCCATGGGCAGGGACACCTTCCACTAGCCCAGGTTGCTCCAAGCCTTGTCCAACCTGGCCTTGGACACTTCCAGGGATGGGGCAGCCACAGCTTCTCTGGGCAACCTGTGCCAGGGCCTCCCCACCCTCACAGGGAACAATTTCTTCTCAATATCCCACCTAACCCAGCCCTCTGACATCGCCCTGCAGATACTGATGAAGTTCATTCTCAGCCATCTTTTCTTGAGGGTGAACAGGCCCAGCTCCCTCAGCCTTGCACAGAATCATTTGAGCTGTAAAAGACCTCTCAGATGAGATTCCAGCTGTTCACCATTTCCTTCTTAAAGAATGCTCCAGTCCATCATCTTTGTTGCTCTGTGCTAGACCCACTCCATGAGATCCATATCTCTGTTGTCCAGAGGAGCCCAGAACTGGACACAGCACTCCCTGCTCCTCTCCTCATCCCTAGTGAGGTGCACCTGATCACCTCCCTGACATGCTGGGAATGCTCTTCCAATGCACCCAGGATCCCACTGTCCTTCTTGGCCACAAGTTCACGTTACCTGCAGCTAAATTTGCTCTAAGGCAACACAAATTACCTGCCTAATCTCCACAGCTGGACTGAGATACACCCCTCAGACCCCTGCAAAGATCACACTAACTCCAGCTCCACTGGGCAGCTCTGTAGCTCAGCTTCACTGTTCAAAAAAAACCACAAAAAAATCCCACCAAGTGCTGCTCTTTGCATTTTAACCTCATTTTCTGGGATTTCATTACCCCTGCAGACGTGCAGGGATCCAAGTGCTGGCATGGATCGGCACGGGACTCACCCAGCACGGTGAGGGTGGCGTTGGCTGACAGTCCCCCCGCGATGTTCTGGGCCATGCAGCTGTAGATCCCCATGTCCTCCATCTTCACGTTGGCAATGAAGAACACGTCGTCCTCGGGCATGACGTGCATCCTCCTCTCCCTGGCGGCTGGGAAGTCGGTGCCCCCGTCCTTCTGCCAGGAGATCTGCGGGGTGGGGTGGCCCTCGGCAGCACATTCCAGCCGGGCCATGGCCCCGGTGCGGATAGTGAGGTCCATGGGGGTTTTCAGGAAGGAAGGGAGCTCTGCATCAAAGACAGAGAGGCAGAGTTTCAGCTAAAAAGCAGAGAGAGGGGCAGATTCTTCTGAAGAACTGTACAGATTTTCAGTGGTCACTTCTAAGAGCCTGTCCTCCAAATTTAAATACAGCATCTGCAGTGTTCATAGGATGGAATGGTTTGGGTTGGAAGGGACATTAAAGGTCAACCAGTTCCACCCCCTGCCATGGGCAGGGACACCTTCCACTAGCCCAGGTTGCTCCAAGCCTTGTCCAACCTGGCCTTGGACACTTCCAGGGATGGGGCAGCCACAGCTTCTCTGGGCAACCTGTGCCAGGGCCTCCCCACACTCACAGGGAATTTCTTCCTAATATCCAATATAAGCATACTCTCTTTCTGTTTAAAGCCATTTATTTAATTTCAGGTGATGTGAAGAACAAGATTTCTCATGGGGAACAGACAGGGAAAAGGTTTAGCCTCCTTCCTAAAACCTTTGTTACACCTTTTGTTCCCTGGTAACAGGGAAGGTGAGCATCCATCTCATCATCCCTGCTCTCAGGTACCACAGGTATCAGTGGCTGACTGATGTGAACATTGCCTTCTCACCTCCCTTCCCTCAAGGCAAAATACACAGAATCATGAGTGCTAAAAATAAAGAGACTTCACTTTCCACTTTTCAGAGTGTTTCCAGTCCCACCATTTATTTTCAGTTGAGTCTTTCCCAGTTTTACAAATACGTGGGAAAGGTGCTGAGTTCTGAGGAGACAGCAGAGGGAGCTTTCAGTTTAAAGAATTCCACCTCCAATTAACTAGGTGAACAACTAATTGTCTTCTAATAAAGCATGGGAGGCAGCTGCCACCTTCCAAAAGCAAACAGAGGCTTTTCACGCCACAAAAAACCCACCCAAAACACCTGTCTCCTGCTTTTATTTCTAAATCCCAGCTAGACAGGCTTGCAAGAGCATTTTGGGCCAGCTCTAGTGAAAAACAGACTTGCAGCTATTCAAATAAAGCTTCAGGTTCAAGGTGTTTTTCCCCTTTGCTACCACTCTCACTCACCATTGACAGTCAGCTTGGCTTTGTTGGAGTAGTTGGAGCCAAAGTGGTTGGTGACGATGCACTGGTACTTGCCCTCATCCGTGAAGTTGACGTTGAAGAGGTGCAGGACAGTGGTGTATTCCAGCACCTCGGCGCTCTGCTGCTGGTACCTGGCAAAGTTCTCCACCTCCGCGTCGTAGAGGACCTCGCTGTCCTTGCGCCAGGCCGTGGCCATGGGGGAGTCGCTGCTGCTCACGGCGCTGCACGTCAGCGTCACGTTCATGCCCCGCAGGGCCACCGTGGTCTCGGGGTGAACCCGGATCTGCGGCTTCGGGAAGTTGTCTGGAAAGAAAAACACCAAGAGATCAGCTCTGCTCTCCCCCCTGACTGGAATTAATACTGCAGGAAAGCTCACTCGGCGTAAGCAGAAAGGAAACGCTGGGAACAGATGTCCCGCTGGAGGTGGTGCAGACTCAGCTGTTTTCAGCTGGAGATGAGGGTTAGAACCACAGGTAGGCAGAAGAATCAGCACTGGAAACAGTCAGTGTGGTGCTGAGCAGCCCTGCCTTTCGTCCAGCTAGCTGGAACTTGCTATATTTAGCTCACACCCAAAAGCCCTGCTCAGCTGAAGAGCCAGGTTATTTTATGGAGGACTGAGACTTACTTTCAGAGAGTTTAAATATCCTGAAGAGCCTGTAAGTTCTGCAAGTATAAAGCATAACAAGCTGGCGGTTCACTATCTCATCCCACTCAATGAGAGTGACTCCAATACCCATTATTTCAGCAGAGACTCTCTCACAGGCACACACAGAGTTCTGTCAGGCCCCACAGTGGTGGTGATGGAGTGGAGAAGTGGGTGCCTGTACCTATACATGATGATTATTGTTGCCTCTACCACCAAAGCAATAAAAGAATTGCATACACACAAGTAACCCTTATCAGCAAAGAGAAGCAGAATGAAACCCCAAACTGATGTACACAGGCCCACACGTGCCATCACAGCAGTAATTTCAGCTGCACAGACTTATGCCACCCTGCTTTTCTATCAAGAGTCATTAAAACCACAAACCACAGATGAAGTCATCAGGGTCCACACTGAGAAGGCTTTGTCCTGCCAACCACTCAGGGTGGGCACAGGTGACATTCACAGCCTGCTGCAGATGGCTCTCAGTGAGCCACTGGGGCAGCCACTTCAACTGGCAATCGCAGAGGAGGCTGCTTGTGTTCAAAACTCTGCAGAAACAAGGCAGAACAACAGGGTGAATAAAGTGCATTTCACATTCCTACCTGTGATTTCAGGCAGCAAAACAACTTAAAGCATACACATTCAGAACTGTCAGGATTTACAGTATTATTTTGTACCTGTGGGTATTATAAAATCTTAGCTATTTATGACAGAAACGACTCCTCTGCGTCAGCATTAAAACCTTAAATTTCTTTTTAATTCCGGAGAATATAACCTCGGAGCTTCAACTTCTTTAAAAAACAAACCCCAAAAACACTAAGCCTATCTTTACAATTATCTCATCCCTCTTAAAAGCAATTAGAAGGAACAACACTGCAGAGCAGCTCCATGTCTCAAACTAAGCACACTTGCCATTACGAAACGAGCAGAAGCCTCAATTCTCATTTTCGTGCCAGCTGATAAATATTTAAGAGTGATTTGTTTCATCCAGGTATCAACTGCAGATCATTTTCTCTGCTCCACAGAAAAACTGCCAGCAGGAAACAATGATGGCTCAACTTTTTCCCCACCCCTGCTTCCAAAGTTTCCTAAATATTATGTGTGAGTTATGACTGACTGGAGACCTGCTAGAAGATGAATGCAGTAGTGGGAGAGGAGAGGCACCAGACAAGGCAGGATTCCACCCTGCTCTCTGCCTGCACATACCAACGATTCCTCACTTTTAAAATACATCAGAGAAGGCAAAGAAATCTTTAACACCTAAAATGTGTCTCCTCACACGGGCAGATCTTGCAGATTAAATCCATCTGGCCGAGATTAACTAATGGAATAACAGTTTTAGACCAGATGACACGATATTCAGGGACTTCATCTCACAGAAAGGACTGTGTTACAGTAAGATCGGTCTCAGGTGTGAAGGTCTCTTCACATCATAATACTTCAAATGTCTGAAGACCACAAGAGGCTCCAGCACCTTAAATATCTACTGAGCACCTAAAAAGTCTTGCCTAGCTGTGAATTTTAAAGCCTTTCCCTAGCCCACCAAAAATAGGAAGTCAAAATGTAAGGTTTGCTAACCACCCCCCACCCCTGAAAAATTTCTGATGAATTATTTCTTTTGTTCACTGCCTACATGCAAGTGAGTGAATGGTTCAGCACTGCCAGAAAACAAAATTATCTCCTCCTAGTTGCAACTAAGGTGCAGATGTTATCAAACCTCAAACCTACATGTATTTGAGTTCATAATTTACCAGCATTGCTGCAGATATTTCATGATGGAAGCAGACACACTCGAAACTTCAGACAGCCCTATAATGGCTGAAGGATTCTTTCCAAGGCAGGGCTTGTAAAGAATCTCTAAATAATTGTCATGAACTTACAGCTCCTTCAGCTGAGCCTGGGCAAAGGCATTTTCTTGGATGGACATTACTGCATTGTTGCTTAGATCTCTGCAAGTTAAGCAAAGGGCACAATAATGGGTCAGTGTGATTTCGTGTGGTACCTTCAGGTAAATTCTTAGAAAATCTGACAGAGAATGTAAGACTGAAGTTGACAAATAATTACAAGTTCTACAGTGTAAAGTACTTACAGATGCTCAAGTCCTTCCAGACCTGAGAAGGCTTTTTTGGTAATCGACTTTATCTGGTTTCCTTGCAAGATTCTGAAAGACAAAGCCCAGGATCCCAGTCTGAATGCCAGTATGAGTTGACAAACAGGACCCAAAAGAAGTTCTCCATGATGCTTAACTACATTTTTTTCTATTTCTAGCTGAGCTAAAAGATTAAATGTTATTTTTTTTTTTAGTTTAAAGGTTCAACTGATTTTCCCACAAACAGGGTTCCTTTACTATTTTTACCTTAGAGACTTGGGTTAGAGATGTGTCAGAAGATAATTTAAGTCAGGAGAATGAAACAGTGATAAATAGAACCATCACATGAGCTGCTGGACTGCACCCTCACACCAGGCTATTTGTGGATGGAGCTTCCTACAAAGCACGTGGCACTGGATGAAAAGTGCATAGTCCAAGTACTGAAAAGTTGTTAATTCAATGGTGTTTCACATTTCCTCAAAAATACTTTGTGTTTTGGAGTGGTGGTTTTTTTTTTTTTTTTTTTGAAAAGCAGTAACTTTCAGCCAAAGTAAAGAAGCACAAAAATTGATAATCATCACATAGAGGGAGGGAGCTATTCAGTAATAAATCAAGTACTTATGCTTAATTTCTTCAAATTAGTGCTGCAATCCAATGTTCCTGAACGTGGAACCCAAGCTTATATCAGGAGGCTGTGGCACACAAGTGGAAACACAGAACAGCTGCCACTAAAAAGGTTTTCTGCCTTGTCACTGATTTACAATTTGCTTAATATTTTGCCCTCCCTCTCCCCTGCATGCCTGGGAAGTGCTGTCATTCCCATGCTTTGTAATACATACAGTCTATCCAGCCTGCTGAGTCCCACAAATGCTTCATTTGCATCTTCTATGGCCCAGGAGATCTCGTTGTTCCGCAAGTCCCTGCAGGGGAAGAGCTGTCTTAGACAAGAAGCCTTGGAAAAGCCTGGAATTAAGCTTTTTTCCTTAGAGGGAAGCCTTGGAGCATCATCATCATCATGACCAGGCTTAGTGGTGAGCTGGGGAAGACATTAGTGCTGTATGGGCCTGGCACAGCATCCCCTGGAAGGTCTCAAATCTTCCACAAAACTAAGCCTGTCAGGAGATGAATATCCCATTTCAGAGGTGCAAGGCAAAACTGCTCCTGATCAGTGCTGCAGCCAGAACCACAAACAAATCCTGCAGTACAACTTCTTGATGTGGTATTTAAGGAAAGCCCCAGCCTGACCAGCACTTGCCGTGTGATGGAGTATTTGCCAGGAGCTGGGAGAGGCTCCTGAAGCAAGTTGGTTCATGTAAGGGAATTAAGCAATACACCAGCAGAATTAATCTTCCCCAGTAACAGGCTTATAACAGCATTAGCATATTAAGAGATTACACACAGGTTACAGTGTAGGGCTGCCAGGCACACAGTGGTGGATTTTCAGAATGAAGTTGATATTCTGTTCACAAATCTCGTTATCAGCTAATGGGATTTCTGATTGACCTCTGCACAGCACTTCAGCCCCTTATGGAGAAGAGAGGTCTAAACAGCAAAAGCAATAGAGCAATCTGGTTTGGAGAGGATTAAATGCTTTTTTTAGAGAGAAGAAGAAATACATTCAGTTGTGTTTTCAGCCTGAATGGCATGGACTCAGCCAAGAGCATGTTTTGATACCACCATGCACAGAAGTCCCTGCAGGCAGGAGTGTTTAAAGGAAATCACACTAATAAAGAATAGTCTGTACTGTGTTTCACCAGATATTCTATGCAACAGCTTGTGGAGCTTCCAAATGAGTCAACTAACACAAAACCCAGCTACATACACAGACAACTGTGTATGTCACTCACAAAAACACCTTTTCCCCTGTGCTAATGGGGGAAAAATGAAGTATCTACTTTCTCTTGAGTGAGACTGTAAACTGTATAAAACTCCATCCTGTGTAAAACCCCCATCCTTGGATTAACCTCCAGAACACCATCAGTGGTAACATGTTATTTTCTTATTATTCTTTGAAATATGGAAGTCTTGGTCCTAACACCAGGCAGCAGCCATTTCCACAATTAATACATAAGCATGTTAAATTTTAAGACAAAAATAAAAGGAATTCCATGTTTCATGCATCACATGGTCTGAACAAATATGGCCTTGGAACTTGCTCACATTACATATTTTCCTCTTTAAAAATGATTCAAGCTAAAGGACTTGACATGGATGTGATCTAATGAGCGTGACTAGATGAATAATACACCACATTTATTTCCACGTTGCTAATTCTTGTGATTTAAAACCTGTTTCCAGAATCATCTCAAGGTCTGCTTCAGAATGTTAGCTGGTGAGTGCTGGAGAATACAAATGCCAAGCTGCTCACAGTACTATGGAGTAAATAACAGGATAAGATGGAAAAAACTTCACTGCTATTTTTAGACACAGCTTTAATCCTACCTTGCAGTTAATATCAGTTTTACTGTTTATTCTCCCACACAGAGAGGCAGGAGCCGAACACAGAGAAATATTTACACCAGCCTTAGCACTGGAACAACCAGCACACAACCAACAATGGCACTAATCCCGCAGCCACACCGTGTCTCTTGTTGTTTGAAGTATTTTTACACTCCACTACTCAGACCACTTAGCAAAACGAGCGGGCAACCCACAAGAAAAGCCCCTCATTGTGTGAGCAGAGGGGTTGGCTCCTCATGCCTGGCTGGGCACGAATGCTTGGAGCCTTGTTAATCACCACTGCCCTCCGTGCTGCACATTCCAGCCCCAAAGGAAAGGGCCAGGCCCTGGGCTGTTGACGCCCCTGAGAGCCCAGGAAAACCTACTAATTAATCTGCTCTTGTTCTTCTTCATGCTGCTCTAAACCTAAGAAATTAGGTTTAATTATTTCATTAAAAGGTTGCATTAAGGTTAACAGAATATGACTGCTTACATAAATCTCTCCGGTGAGTTTGCTTATTTAAGCATTTATTTAATGAAGTGACAGAGGGGTTACAAACTTTCACTCCTTTCTCAAGTACCATTGTTTAGGATAATTACAACTGTTCAGATCTCCTTGGGGCAGGATTGGGTCTTTTCAGAAATGCCCAACAGCTGCAGCTGCTGTGAAAGGTCCTGGCAAGTGCAGAGAGCCGAGCCTGTGACAGCAAGAGGAACCCTACACCTCCTGTCAATCCCTGACTGCAGCACACAGGCAGGGTGGCCTGAACCACACCTCCTGCTACACAAAAGGCTTCAACCACTTGGTTTCTGAGCTTCCAACCCTAACGCAGAAAACCCTCTGGAATAAAGAGCTCCAGGCTGTTTGCTCCACAGGTGGCATTTAGCCAAGTTATCCACACTTCTCAGAACCACTGGGGCACATCTGGGCACCCAGGGTCACCCAGTGTTTCTCACCACCGCTAAAACCGAGGGGTTGGTTTGTTTTGGCTGGGCTGGGATTCTGTTATCTCGGCAAACCCAAAGATTATCAGCCCCGCCACACCCGCAGGCAGGACAGATCTCAGTGCAACACCCATTTGTCTGCGTTAAAAGGGAAATTTCAATTGGCTGTTTTTCTGTACTTACAAGGTCTGAAGATTTGTCAGACCCCTAAAGACACCATCAGCAATGTGGCTAATGCGATTGTCACCCAGGTTTAGCTTCTCCAACAAGCCAAGTCCCACGAAGGCAGATTCCTTGAGGCGAGTGAGCTGGTTGTACGACAAGTCCCTGGAAACACGGAGCACACAGTTTAAAGGCAAGTAGGGTAGGGATTAATTATGAAGATACTATCTGACTTGATTAACTATTGTGTTTTGATTAATTCCTCTAACAGAGCACTCATAAGTAAAATACACAGCACCACCACGGGCCTGACAAGGAAATGGAGTGCTTCCTTTGGTAACTTGTTCTTGCCAATCTGTTATTGCAACATTCCAAAACCCCCAGTGAAAAGCAGCCCAGGACTTACAGCTCAGCAAGCCTTTGGCAGAATTCCCACGCATCTGGGCTGATCCTGGTGATGGCATTCTGGCTAACATAGAGTTGTTGCAATGTCCTCAGCCCATACAGCCAGCCCTTGTTTACTTCTGTTAAGTTATTATGTTCCAGTTCCCTAAGGAATTAGAAGGAAAAACATTTTGTCAAGTAGATAATCAATGAAACATCTATTTATAAACTTTCACCTTGCGGGTCTCAAAATGATTTACTAACATGAAGCATTAGATAGAAAACACAAAATGCACAATTATATCCAGATTCCATTGAAATCAAAAGATTGAATTAGAGTATATGAAGGACTGAGTAACCCAACACCAGCTGCAGGGATCCAGTGACAGAAACAAAACTGCAATCTCTGTTTTCAAAGATAATTTCTTTTTGCTAACACTGCATGGCACACCCTGGTGTTTGCTCTGTCAAAGTCACAGAGCAAGGAACAGCCCCATGTTATGGGGACTGCAAATGAAAACCAGCAAAAAAGCAGCTACAGAGTCAAACATGCTGGATCACCAGTGGGAACAACCTGGAAAGAACACCAATATCATGGAATCACAGAATGGTTTGGGTTGGAAAGGACCTTAAAGGTAATCCAGTTCCACCTCCCTGCCATGGGCAGGGACACCTTCCACTAGCCCAGGCTGCTCCAAGCCCTATCCAACCTGGCCTTGGACATTTCAGGGATGGGGAAACGTATCTTTCCACCTCTGAAGTAAAAGTATGGTATAAAAACAATGCAAAAATACTCTTTTCCTACGATTTCATCAATATCCCAGCACAGCCTTGATGTAAGGGAAGCCATTCAGGACACACCCTCCAGAGTCAGACCCTTAAAGAAATTCCACAACTAGGCATACTCACAGTTCCTCTATATTACCCAGGCCAAAGAATGCTCCATCCATCAGCCTGCTAATCCCATTGCGCTGCATTTTCAAGGATTTTAAGGATTCCAATCCTTGGAATGTAAGGCTTTCCACTGTTCTAATCCGGTTCCTTTTCAGTTCCCTTTTATAAAGATGACATTCAAATATTAACACACCTTTCAACAAGGCACCACTCTGTGAAATGATAACATGCTGAGATGAGCAACACAGCTGTAAATGCTGCTTTTATGCTTTCAGGACCGTTACTCACAGAAACTGCACGTGAGGCAACTTGAAGATCTTTGGTGGAATCACACTAATCCTATTTCTGTTCAGCTTTACCACCATCAGCGAGCTAGATAAGTTATCAAGGCAACCTGCTTCTAGAGTAGTTATCCTGTTGTTACTCAGATTCCTAGGAAAGGAAGAGGGAAAGAGGCCTTTCAGAACACAAAGAGTTTTATGAACACAGTGGCACGAGCGAAATCACATCAGAAATCTGAATTCTGGGATACCAAATCCTTTCTTCCACAGGAATCAGTGCAAGGAGCTGGATTTACTGCATGTCCATGCTTCAGTTAAGACATGGCTGAGACAAGTGTCCACAGTGATCTACTCAAACAGGGCAGAAATCACCCCCTGTCCCTGCTGGCTGCACTTTGACAACACCAGTAGGTTTTTTCCCACGTTATTTGGGAAAATGCCATATGGATTGGCATGAAAAATATTTTATTTCATGCACATTTATAGCTCCATGAAGCACTGCTACCAGTCCAAAGATAACTTCAGAGCAGGGAGGTGTCCAGAGAGCAGAGCCAGGACTCCCAGGCAGAGCAGACCACTTGTACTTACAGGTACTTCAGCTGCATCCGCGGAAAAGAGGAGGCTTTAATTTCCGAGATGAGATTAGAACTGAGATCTAGATTTTCCAGCGAAAGGTAGACCTGCAGTTGCTCAGCATTTATTTCTGGGATGGTGTTGTGCACCCTGGAAGAGATCAGCAATAAACACGATTATCCAAAACATCCTCCTGGTTGCCCAGCTGACGGCACAGTTACAGGGTTCTGGGCATCGACATCAGTGAGCCTCCTGAGCGGGACACGCAGCACATGCTTCCAAAAGTGTTCATTCCCAAAGCAACGCTGCAAATCCCAGAGCTATTTACCACCTTGACATATGAACAGATTCAAATTCTGAGGCCTGTAGCTGGGCTGTTCCTTGTGGGAACTGTCATTCCCAGGCTGAACCCCTCCCTTTCAAAGCTGCCTGCCTTGGTTGACTGCGTTTTATTGGTAATTTAGGGTGACTTGATTGTCTGACTGATTTGTATTTCTTTAAAGAGTGCTTGCATATTCCCTAAAGGCCTTCAGAGGAGCGGCATTTCGAGACAAAAGAAGATGTTTTCCTACAATTTGACGGCAGAACTACAACACCACCGCTCTCCCCGATTGTTAAACAAGAAAAAGGCAGATGAGCTGTTACTTACAGTGAGAGAAGAGTTATATTGGAAGTTGTTTCTCCAAAATATGGGATTTCACTCAGCTCATTGTAATTCATTTTCCTTAAAAAGGGACAAAAAAAAAATAAATTACTAGCACTTCAAAGAGAAGAAAAAGCCTTCTGTACACAGCAGAAATAATTCATATCACAGTGCATTTAACAAGTTTATTACATTAATAATACTTAGTAGTTGACAAAAAAGATCCCCAAAAGCTTAAATAATAATAATTTGAACAATTTAAGAGTAAAACATGCTAGTTTTTCGCATTTTCATGGATACTATTACTTCTCTTTCATTTAAAATCTGCTACAGACAAAACAGTGTCTCATTTCTCTTTAAAATATTGGTCTTTTAATATTTTATGAAAAGGTTTTCTGCTCACAAAGAAGCAATTTTATCCATAAAATGTGCTCCCAACGCAGAGCATCCATTTTTAATTACCTTGCACTGAATATTTCTACAAGTCAGACCAGGTATCTCTACATGCAATGAAATGTTCTAACTAGAATTAGGTAGGATATCTCTAGAGTTTACCCTCATAAAAGCCAACTTACACTTCTTGCAGCGTGTGAACAGACAAATCAATGCTCCAGTTGGATGATAATAAATGATTATGACTTAAATCCCTAGAGAACAGAGAGAAAAGCTGTTTAGCTCCTGCAATAAAATAAATTTTAAAAAACCAAAGAAACAAACCATGTATTCTTTGTACAACTTAACACTGGAGATTTATCCCAGCTAGTTCTAAGCTTATCAGGCAGACAGCAGCTATGCTGACACAGGAGACAAAAATCACCCTTTGCAACCAAAACTACCATTAAAATGAATTTTAAAATGTAACTGAGAATATTTAAAACTATTTCCATTGGCAACCAGGCTTGGGCAGCCACAGCTCCCACACACTGCTCTGCTCCTGCAATAGCTTCGAGCCCGTGCTTGGCTCCAAATACACCCAGGGCCAAACCTGATCCCACGAGGATCACCCACTCCCAACTCCTGGCCCTGCACAGGATGATCCCAAATCCTCCCATGTGCCTCAGAGCCTTGTCCAACCCTCCCTTGAGCTCTACTTTTGATCTGTAAGACCAAAACTTATTAGGAGAGAGCAAGGACTTGACACTTGACAGACTATTTGTTGTTAACTCCCCCTCAGGTTCAGCGCAAAGATTCCGTTCCAGCCATGAATTATTAAAATCCTGGGTGCCACGGCAAGTCAGGCAGTTGTTAATGTGTTCTTTTAATTACATCCAGATGCAAATTATACAGATAGAGCAGCGAGCAGGTTTGCAAACGATTATTCATGCCTATAATTAATTAAATAAATAAATAAATAAAAGAACCAAGAGAACCTGGAGAAGAGAACAACTGCAGCCCCTGCATGCTGCTCTGCAGGCTGGCCCGTGGTAGGTGGGGTAATTAAGCCAATCCTAAATGCCAGACACACAAAAACAACGGGGTGAGAGCTGCTCAGGGATGCTGAGTGCTCAGGACACCCCTCTGGAATGTCTGGGATCCACGGCCATGCTTGGTGGAGGGAGCGCTGATCCCAAATCCCAGCAGCAGAGACTTTCCTGGAGGAGGCTGCAAACATGCAGGCACCCAGCCAGTGCTGAGCAGCCTGATCTTGGAGCAGTGGGGTTAACCAGAGTGGGCAGCACCAAGCCACGCTGTTCCCAAAGGATCTGAGAGCAGACCGTGGAGAAAGGACGAGACAATGGACATGGAAGATGACAACACAGCCCTGGAGGTGAGCAGATGCTCCACTGATGAGGAGAACCATGCCATGGGTGCTGAGCCAGACCAACCTGTGTGTCAGGCACGGCCAGCAGGCACTGACAAAGATCTGGGGAGTCAGAGAAAACTGAAACTGCATTTTTTCTAAGGCTTCCAGGGAGAACATCAGAGAATATTTCAGTTGGAGGTGACCTACAACAATCCTCTAGTGCAGCTGCCTGACCACTTCAGGGCTGGCCAGAAGTTAAAGTAAGTTATTCAGGACACTGCCCAAACGCCTCCAAAACACTGACAGACATGAGAACCTGCTAACAGAAGCCTAGTGTCTGATTATCAAGTTAGAAATTAAGATTTTAATTTAAAAAATGCCCAGAAAATATTTTTCTATCATTAGTCAAATCTGGACTACAACAAAGTTTTGACTGCAGTAAGCCCACTTTCAAGAAGTTGGGTATAGCTCATATTTAAACCAGTTCTGACATTATTTATATCTAATTTCTGTTACTGATGCTTTTCTTTTTCAAATAGACCAACTGATCACTAAATACAGAGTGATATTCACCAGCTGATTTTATGTGTTTAGAGATCATTCAATCACACAGCTAAGATTCCTGCTATCCTGCAGAACCAGATGCAATTCCCTCGCTCTGGAAATGCCAAAATGGTAGAACCCATCATTTCAGCAGCCCTTGCACTGGAACTGGGAGGCCCAGGCTGTGCAGGAGCCAGAGCAAACACACCAAATTTGTATTTTAGAGATTCATCTGGTATTGTGTATAACATATCTAAACATCCATTTCAAACCGAAGTGGTTTTCATCTCCTAAGTAAATAAATCAGAACACACACCCCAAACTGATTATGGGTGATGGAGAACGGCCTTAACTCAGCCCAGCTGAGCTGTGGCCCTGGGCTGGTACAGGTGTCAGTGCAGGGAGTCATTTAAGCTCACCCAAAAAACCCTACTGTGAATGGAACTTGCTGAACTAATTAAGTGATACCTAATCTACTTTTATTCATCAGCTCTCTGGTTACCAGGATATATAAACACACTTGGACTGGAGGCAGCGACCACCAGCATCGTGCTCCCCTCTCCCCCTCCACACACCCACCCTTCAAACAGGGCTGGAATTCCTTGTTCTAAAGAATCTGATGTGTTAAAATGCAGACACACAAAAAATATTTCCCAACTCCTAGACTTCCCTACCCTTTTCATCACCTGCCAAGTAATCCACAAAACATACATCTTCACGGGAAAAATGAAGTTACAGATGCCTGCATACTTCCATCATGAAAATAAGTTCCAAAAGTGCTCTCCTGGCCTTATTAAAAACAAAAACCTAAGAGAAAAACCAACCCCCACACACAATGGAAGCATCACCTGCAAGTAGTTTGAAAGAGTCAGGAAAAAGAATTTTTACTCCTCAAAGCTAAGAGAACTGAGAGAAAAGCAGATCAGGGACTTCATCATGTGAGAAAAATTAGGCTTTGATTAATTTTAAACAGCTGGAAAGCATTTTAGCTGGTTTAGATTGAGAACTGCCAGAGCAGTCCTAGTGAAGAAAAAACGTCACCCACACTTCATGTGCCAAAATCCTGAAAGCCACAACAGACAGACACAGAATACATGGAGAGCAGCCCTGAGGAGAAGGACTTGGGGGTGCTGGTGGATGAGAAGCTCAAGAGGACTCAGAAATGTGTGCTGGGCTGATCCCACAGCGCGGGCAGCAGGGGAGGGGGGAATTCTGCCCCTCTGGCCCACTCGGGTGAGACCCCCCTGCAGAGCAGCCTCCAGCTCTGGGATGATCCTGCTGATGAACAGCACAAGGATGTGGAGCTGTTGGAGTCCTGAGAGACCACGGAGATGCTCCAAGGGCTGGAGCCCCTCTGCTCTGGAGCCAGGCTGGGAGAGCTGGGGGGTTCACCTGGATAAGAGAAGGCTCCAGGGAGACCTGAGAGCCCCTTGCAGGGCCTAAAGGGGCTCCAGGAGAGCTGGAGAGGAACCTGGGACAAGAGATGGAGGGACAGGACAAGGAGGAATGGCTTCCCATTGCCAGAGGGCAGAGTTAGATGGGATATTGGGGAGAAATTGTTCCCTGTGAAGGTGGGGAGGCCCTGGCACAGGTTGCCCAGAGAAGCTGTGGCTGCCCCATCCCTGCAAGTGTCCAAGGCCAGGTTGGACAGGGCTTGGAGCAACCTGGGCTGGTGGAAGGTGTCCCTGCCCGTGCCAGGGGGTGGAACAAGATGATCCTTAACGTTCCTTCCATGCCAAACCAGTCCCATGCCCTTATTGTTTGCAGCACGTCAGATTGCACAACACAGCCCGGTGCCAGCCCCGCTCCTTCCCACTGCACAAGTTGTGCCAAGCAGCTTCAAACACACCCTCCATCAGCTTGGAGAAAGATACAAGTATTTGTTGAAGCTTGAAAACTTGCTCTTCAAACAGCACGGATATCATTTTGCTTATTAGCCTCCTGATGAACTGCCAACTCCCTTCTGCAAGAGCTGACACCCCTCCCTGACAAGTTACAATATCCTTGTGCCTCTCTGAACACCAAAGGTTGCACACACAAGTTGTATTTCTATGCTGAAACATACATTTTTTTCTTAAACATTTCCACCTTCTGATTGTGCAGGGAAAGGTGAGAACCACAAAAAGAGCAAGAAGGTGACAAACCTCCTTGGACATGTCTGGTTTTTGACACAGATCAGACTCTTGAGTCCTGCTAGTGGAATTCCTGGAGTTAACTGAACAGTGGTTTGTGTGTTTATAGTACCTGCCCAACAGGTTTAATTTTCTCTTGGTCTGGAATAATGCCATTCCTATCAACTGGGAAACATGATCACTCCAGGAGGGACAGAGAACTCTGTGCACAGGAGCAGGTTTTGATATCCCTCATATTCCAGCACCTCTTCCACCTGAGCATGTTGTAGCCAAAGGTGACAAAAGCAACGGTGACTGTGACAGCAACAGTCAAGGAAGGACAAAGGCTTGACCTGTGTCAACACTATTTAGCAAACTGTCTAATTAAACACTTGGGAGCAAAGACTATGGGTGGCTCTTAATTGCTTTGTGGGATTTCTTTGGAAGAACAATGACAAGCGTCAAGGGGAGTCCACAAAGGTTTAACGGAGGGGAGGAGAGGGAGTCCCTGAGCAGCAGGGAGTGCTGAGGCCGGGGTGAAAGGAACACTTCCAAGCACAATCCTAAGGGGTTGTGTCCCACCAGCCTGACCTGAGACGTTAAACCCTGACCTGACTGGCATCACCTACAGCCTTACCAACCACAACCCGCTTCTGCTCCACGCTCCTCTCGCACAGAGCAGGGCAAGGGCAGAGAGAAACTGCTCCCTGCGACCCCGGCACACGGAGCCTTGGGGGCCAGACCCTCTTCCTCTCCACCGCTCCGCTCCAGCCTTTCACTCTTAAGGAATCACAGAAAGTTGGAAGGGACCCACCAGGATCCTCGACCCAGAGCCGGGGCTGCCCTGCCCGCGGCGCTCCGGGCTCCAAACCCGTTCTGAACACCCCGCGGGCAGAACCACGGAACCAACTGGCTGGGAAAAAACCTCCTGGATCTCCGAGTCCACCCTGTGCCTGATCCCCGCCTTGTCCCCCAGCCCAGAGCACCGAGCGACACGTCCAGGGATGGGGACTCCAAACCTCCCTGGGCAGCCCCTTCCAAGGCCTGAGCACCCTTTCCAGGGAGAAATTCCTCCTGATGTCCCACCAGACCCTCCCCTAGCACAGATTAGGGCTATGCCCTCATCTCCTGTTCCCTGGAGCAGAGCCCGACCCTCCCCACCGCGGCTCTCCCCTCCTGTCAGAGCGAGAAGGCCCCCGAGCTCCCGCCCCGCCCCCGCCGGGCACCGGGCCCGCCCCGCCGCCCCCGCCAGGCCCGTGCACACCCCCGGGCCCCTCGGCGCTCACTCACAGCCCCGTGGTGCCGGCGGGCAGCGGCGGGATCCAGCGCGGGCCCGGCGCGCCGGGCAGGCGGTGGCGGCTGCAGTCCAGCAGGCCGCGGCGGCACGAGCAGGGCGCGGCGCAGGGCTCGGCGGGGGCGGCCCGCGCACACAGCGCTGCGGCCGCCAGCACCCCCAGCAGCAGCGGCGGCAGCAGCGGCGGCGGCAGCACGGGCAGGGCCGGCGGCAGCGCCCCGCGGGCGGCCCGCACGGCCGGCCCCGCTCCCCGCATCGCCCGGCCCGGCCCCGCCGCCCGCCCGCCGACACCGCAGCGCGCAGGCGGCCAGGGGCGGGGCTCTGCATGGCCACGCCCACACGGGGGCGGTACATCGGTGGGGGCGGGGCTGCGGTACAAGCCACGCCCCGTTCGCTGAGCAGCCCCGGGTGGGCGGTGAGGGGGCGTGGCCACGAGGAGAGGGGCGGGGTCAGAAGGTGAGGAGCAATCGCAAGCCCCGCCCGTTCTGGGCTCACGGTCGGTTCGCAGGGGGCGGGACCAAGAGAGGGTGGGGCTTCTTATCGCCCCGCCCACTCCCAATCACAGCCTGCTTGAAGGCGGAGGAGGCGGGGCCAGTAAAAGGCGTGGTCACATCAAACCCCGCCCATCCCCGCAACACCATCTCACTGTCAATCAGGGGCGGGGGACAGAACAGGCCACGCCCCTTAGCCCTGGCGACGTGGGCTTGTCGTGTCGGTGGCCACCAGTGTCACCAGGGTCAGAGGGCGCGCCAGGCTCTGCTCGGGGGTGCCCAGCAATGGGACAAGAAGCCACGGGCAGGAATCTATGCCCTGGAAGTTCCACCTGAACACGAGGAAGAACAACTTTACTGTGCAGTGACCGAGCCCTGAACAGGTTGCCCAGAGAGGGTGCGGAGTCTCCCTGACTGGAGACAGCCAGGACACGACCCTGTGCCATGTGCTCTGGGATGACCGTGGGTGATCAGGGATTTGGCACCAAATGACCCGCTGTGGTCCCTTTGGACCTGAACCATCCTGTGATTCTGTGTCCCCACGGGCCTGGTGTTGTCGCCAGGGTGTCACCCCTGGGTCCCCGGGCTGCAGGTGCTGGGGATGTGTCCCCTATCAGGCAGTGAGGTGGTGGGACGGACAGACACCTGGTGGGAGCCTCGGGCATAGTCCTTGCTGTTCGGGCACTGCCACCTCGTGGTCCTGGCCCCGGCCGCGAAGGGACGCGTGTGCCCGGCTCTCCCGGGGCACGGCAACCCCTGCAGCCCGCCTGGGGTGGGCGAGACATGGGACACGGGCCCCGTGCCCCCGGCACAGCCCGCGGCGAACCCAGCCCGCCCGGTCGCTGCCCGGGGCTCCACGCCGAGCAGGCTCGGGAGAAAACATCCCGATCCTCTGCCCTGGGGCCGGGATGTGCAGCTCGGCGCTGCCCTCGGGCAGGGCAAGCCGGTGCCGGTGCTCGCAGCGCCCGCGGTGCCGGGCCAGCCCCAGCCTCGCAGCGGGGCTGGGCAGCAGCCACGTCCTGCCCCGGGCGAGTCTGGCTGCGTGGGGAAGGCGGAGGGAGCCGCGCACATCCCTGCTTCCCAGAGCGGCTCAGGGCACGGCTGCTGCCGGCTGCAGACACGGGGATGGGATGCCGGTGGCAGGTGGAAGGAGATTCCCACGGAGCAGCGAGGCTGAGCCGCCCTGCCCTGTTGCTGCCGGCGCATTGGCAGCGATGTAAAGCTGACAGAGAGTATCCAAAGGAGGGCTGTGAGGATGGTGCAGGGTCTGGAGGGGCTGTACAGGGAGTGGCTGAGGTCACTCGGTCTGTTCAGACCTGAGAGGAAGAAACTGCTCTCTGTGAGCAGTGACAGGACCCGAGGGAACGGCTGGAGCTGTGTCAGAGGAGGGTTAGGTTGGATATTAGGGAAAGGTTTTCCCTCCAGAGTGTGGTTGGGCACTGAACAGGCTCCCCAAGGCAATGGTCATGGCCCCAAGGCTGCCAGAGCTCAAGGAGTATTTGGACAATGGTCTCAGACACAGGGTGGGATTGTTGGGGTGTCTGTGCAGGGCCAGGAGTTGGACTGGATGAGCCTTGTGGGTCCCTTCCAGCTCAGGATATTCTCTGATTCTGTGCTCTGTGCAAACATGCCCCAGCTCTGAGCATGGGCAGGGATGCTGCCAGCTGGGAATCTGTTCCCTGCATCAGGGTGGCTGCTGGAAGTGCTGTCCTGGCTGCCCAGGGCACAGGCTCGGGGGAGCTCAATTAGGAGCATCTGCTCAGACAAAGTCCAACACAGGTCTCTCCAACAATAGTTCCCACTGCAATTTGCATTTATAAGAGTATTGCCATGGCAGCATAAATTTGCATATTAATAGAAGCCAGTCTTAATTGTTGAGCTGCTTCTGAGGCCTGGGAGCAGAAAGGAGCCTGCTGTGATTCATGGAGCTGCAACTGCCACTGCTCGGGGCCCTGCCTTCCCAGCCAAGTTCCTCAAAGCACTCCCTCCTGCTCTCTCTGCCAGTCCCAACCTGGTGCAGCTCCTGAGAGCTGTGCAGTCGCCCACAGCACCCATTTAGCAGTGAAATCCTGAGCTCTCATCCTGCCTCTGGGAGCCATCTGCACACGCAGGACTGGTGCTGTATGCAGGGCACCTCCTGTGTGCCCAGCACGGCCTGTGCTTCCCTCCAGGTGTCCCAAATCCCAGCCCTGCTGGCCGTGCTCAGGCACAAGCCCTTGCAGAGCAGGAGGCAGTTGCACACCCGGGGATTCCAGCTGAAATGATCCTGCTGGAGGTACTTCCAGCCTGCCTAGCAGGGTCTGCCAGGCTTAACATGGGGGAGGCATTTGATCCCTGTCCTGTCCCTGGCTGGTTCAAGAGGTGTGGATTGGCCAGGGGCTCTCCAGGGAAGCACTTGCATGTCTCCCTGTCCCTGAGATGTGAAGTCTCCCTCTTCCCTACCACAGATCACTCCCAGATCCCCATGGCTGGGCTGCAGCCCACCCTGCTCATCCCCCTTGGGCCACTCTGCTCTCCCAGCATCTGGACTTCTCCCTGAGCATCCCGAGGGAAAGCCTGGGATCCTGTTGCAGCATCTGCCAGAGCCCCCCAGTCCTGCCAGGAGCATGCCTGGCCTGGGAATGCCTCCCTGGCTGGGTGGCAGTGGAGATTCAGCACATCCCCTTGCTGTCTGCAGCCTCTGCAGAGGGTCCTCCCTGGGGAGATGCTTCCCAGGCTCCAGGCTAGCGTGTCTCCAGCCCAGCATTCCCTCCTTCCCAGCGCTGAGCTGCAGCGTGGGAAGGCTCAGCCTGTGCTGGAGCCGGGCATTCGCCACTGGATGGCACACGAGGCTCGGCGGAGGAGCCTGGGTGGTCCTGGGAGAGCTGAGCAAACCCCCGCCAGCTCCGGGCTGGGTGTGCCGGAGGGTGCTGCAGGGGTGCCAAGAGGTGCTGGACTCCCAGCTCCACAGGTGTGCTCCCTCCTCGCCGCCCTCGGGAATGCCGGTGCCTGGCTCAGAGCGGGACTCTGACCTTGGCTGGACGGTATCTGCGGCACCTCCGGGTGTTTGGCGGCTCCTCGGGAGCACCCAAGGCTCTTCCTGACCAGCACTCCCTGCAGATAAGGGCGACTTCACCTCCCTCCTCCTCACAGACTGGAATTTCAGGGAGGTTTCTAAACCTGCCGGCCTTGACGAGCTCAGGCTGAAACGGGCTCTTAATTTAATATCCTCCTTTGTGCCAACAACTCTGCTGGAAGGCAGAGGGTGCCAGCCTGACCAATAAATCACAAGAAACCCCCCTCTCTGCCCACAGTCCCTGACCAGCCACTTTTCTGTCTGCCCCTGTCACCCTCATCTCTGGTGGCCTCACCAGCACAGAGGTGCCTCTGTGTCCTTTTCCCTCAGTGGGACATCTCCACCAGCATCCAGGCGGCCTCGTGCTGTGGGATGATGCCTGGTGATGTGGTGCTGGGATGGGGCAGCACCAGCCTGCCCAGGCTGTGGCTCCCCTGTGGGGTCACCCTGCCCTGGCTTTGCCCCAGCTATGCTGTGGGTCTGTGGGGTCTGCTACCCCAGCTGTGCCCAGGAAGGTGAGTGGGCAGCCAGAGGAAGGGACAGGGTGTCCCTCAGCTGCCCTTGGCCCCATTGTTCTCCCACGGCCACCGTGTCAACAGGAGCTGGGAGAGGAAACGGGGGCTAAGGAGATGCCAAGACCCCTGCTGGTAAAGGAAAGATAAGGAGGGAGGGGGCATTTTCTGGCTGTCCAGGGGTGGCGGATGCAGGAGGTTCCCCTGTGGTGCAGGAGAGGGACAGCATTGTGTCCCCAGACAGCCTCCCATGTACCACGCTGAGCAAGGGCAGTGACTGGGGGTCCACGGCATGCTCAGGTGGTGGTTTAGGCCAGACTTTGAAAAAATGATTTGCATGAGAAGCCTTGGAGACAACTGGCACTGCAGGGAGGACTCCATCACCCACAGACCCTCCTGACAGCACAGGGATGCTCAAGGAATGATGCTGTTCTAGGGGCTGGGGCCTGGCTGGGCTCTGACTGAGACTTGGTGGAGAGTCCTCATCTCCTCCAGCCCATTCCCAGGGTGTCTGCACCATCCCAGCCCTGAGGGGTAGGATGCAAGTGGGTGATCCTGGCTATGTGCCCATGGCCCTCCAATCCAGGGCACTGTGCTCGGTTGGGAGGAAGGGGTGAGTGCCAGGACTGGTGGCACTGCTGCCTGCCCTGAGCCCCCCTGGGATGCAGCAATCTGCCACACACCCGCTCCAGAGGGTCGACCCCAAGGTTGGAGTGGGACACTGAGCTTCCCACATCCACTCCGACAACAAACCAGGACTGGACTTTGGATGCCGCCCTTCAAAGGGGCGACAAAGTCCAAAGAGCAGCCGCTGTGGGCCTGGCCAGGGCTCACAGGCCTTGCTCACAGCACAGATGGAGACACCCCACTGCCATAACCTCCTCCCTGGCCTCAGGTCTGTGGGTTTGGTGGCCACTGGGCCACCACCCCACAGCAGCTGATGTGCCTGTGGCCCTGCACCTCTCCAAGTGCAGGGAGTGTCCTTTCAGACACTGTTTTCTGGGGAGGAGTCGGAGCCAAATCTTGGCACTGCCAGCCATGAGAGCTGGAGTCAGGCAGTCAGTGCCTCATCCA